TTGGTGGCCAATTAATGGGATGTAGTCGGTTTCATCAACTTACAACTAACCCTCAACAAGCTTTTTTGACTTTCGGTTTTTAGTTAAGTAATTAATGGACTTATCACAAGACATGTCTCAAGGATTGGGAAAAAAAAGAAACAAAGAATAATATAACGTCTCCTAGTAATATTCTTCTAATTAAATTAGCTATGTATTTATGGTGCACGATTATATTACTGAATAAAATAATTACGTAAAGTTAAAAGAAGATCTTTTATTGGATAAATAACATGTTGTTTTGCTCTTCGTCTCAAATTATCTATGATGATTTTTTTTTAAGTTTTCTCTAATAAAATTTTCATTTAGAGGATTTTTTTTAAAAAAAATTAATCATTATTTATGTAGTACTAATTGAAATATCATCTCTCTACGACGTTGAATATTACTTACTCTATTCATCAGTATCTTCCCAGGGTTAAGAGGTTTGTAGTCTTCCTCTATTTCATATTACTTGGTTCTTGTGGATCTTACACACCTCTTAAGAAAATTTTAGTTGAAAGTATTTTACTACACTAACTTTATTAATCAGAACAAAGTAAAATTTTCCTAAAATTGGCCTGTAAATTAAAATATCTATTTTTGATACAATGATCAAGTAAAATAAAACAATTATTTTTAAAAATTACGATAAATACTTTAAGAGGAAAAGAGTAATTAAGGTAGGTTCCATTCTGATGAACGCTGCTGCCAATAATTTCAATTGGTCGCCACACGGTCACACCAACCTTGATTTTTATAATATTTTTATGTACTAAGCTTATAAGCATCATAATATGGATAGGAATTAGGAACTTTGTAAATTCGTCCAAACGAAATATTATCCTTTTAATTTGTTTCGTTTTCTAATGAAGAATGTTCATTTATCATTACGCCTCCGTTAGTTATATACACATAATATGTATCGATCCATGAAAGGTTATTTAATTATACTCCCTCCGTCAACTTTTATATGTCATGTTGCGCTTTTCGAAAGTCAATTTGAATGATTTTCAAAGTTAAATTAGATTACATTAATTTGATATTTTAAACAAATAGTTAAAATATTCAAAAACTATACGAAAAGTACTATAAATTACAATTTTTTGTATATCGTAAAATATTAGTCAATTTTTTTATAGTTTGACTCTAAATGAGGAACTATGACAACTAAAAGTAGACGGAAGGTAGTAATATTTTTGTTTTTATCAATTACTCCTTCTGTCTCTAAAACTTGTCCACTTTTGAATTGACACACCTATTTAAGAAATAATTATTGACACAGTGAGTTTATCATTTTACCATTATTAATTATGAAGTTGATGTATTAAAAACTTGAGATTTTCAAAAAGTTCTACATTTTTTAAAGTAATTAATTGAGGATATATAATAGATAAAGAAAAAAAAAATTTAATCCTTTCTAGATTTATCAAAATGAACAAGTAATTAGAGATAATTAAAAAAAATGGACAAATAATTATAGACAGATGGAGTAATAAATTAGCAAAGATATACTACTAATTAAGTTATCTGTGTCATGTACTTAATTAAACTCCACAAAAAGACATCATGAACCTAGTTATTCATAATTAGCTGTTTATGTTTTGGATAACTTCGAAGAGTAGCAAAAATATATTGGTACACGGTATTACATCAGATAAATAGATGCATTATTATATCTCTACTATATAAGAGTCTACAAGTAGGCATTTGTTCATCAACATGTAGATTTTGTATGTTGACACTTTATAATTGTACCTTTTCTTCTTTAGACAAACCAGCTAACATCCCCATAATTACAAATATATCCATCAAAGAGCTATACTCTTAATTGATCTAAGTGGGGCCAACCGACTTTATCATGTCGGCTGACCAGTGTATTTCTTTATTTTAATTTATTATTTCACTTTTTTAATTGACAATTTAATATACTTAAAAATAGATTATATATTTAAAATTACATAAAAAAAATACTACATATCACAATAATTAACAATTGTTTGACACTTTAAATTCTATTAATACCACATAAGTTAGGACAAAAGGAGTAATGTATAATATTTAAATATATTTTAAAATTTAAAATAATATAGGTAATATTATAAATTACAATAAGTAACCGCTTAAATATTTAAAAGTTATATAAAAAAATTCAATTGACTCTCGAAATTCTATTGGTACCACATAAAATGGATTAGATGATAAACATATATTGTTTGAAATTGACGAAAAAAATACTATAAATCACAATAATTAATTAAAAAAAATCTATCAATTAATGCCACATAAATTGGGACATCAAAGTAACATATATTATTTTAAAATTACGTCAAAAAGGTACTATAAATTACAATAATTAACAATTTAATGTATTTAATAGACATATAAAAATGCTTATTTTTTGAAATTCTATATATGACAGATAAATTGGAACAAAGAGAGTAATATATATTATTTTTAAAATTATGTAAAAAAAGTACTACAAATCACAATAATTAACAACTTAAAATATTTTTTAAATCATATAAAAATTTCAATAACTTCTTAAGTTCCATAATATCACATAAATTAAGACAAAAAATTAAACATATTGGGCCCCATACTGGCACGAGTCCGATGTCTAGTTTGCATATAAATTCCTACACTTAAACTTCATATGTTTACTTAGTTTCACTGATCTCCCTTCACATTTGTAATATTAAGCTACCTTCTTGGCATACTATCTTCCTTACTTTAATTTTTTTTTGTAACAAGTCCGTTCCATATTAGATGGGAATCTTACTAAAAATGTTTGTCCCATATTACTTGAGTACACTTATTAAATTAGGATTGAATTAATTATTTTTTTCCCATTTTACCCCTACAATAAATATTACCTTTGGAAGTTTGAACAAATTTTAAAGACTCATTTTAATGTGCATTGATATAAACAAAAGGCAAAATGGTAAATCTTCCAATGTATTAATGATTTCTAATTAATCACCGTGTAAAGTACTAAAGTTGGAAGTGTCCATCTAATATGAGACGGAAGGAGTAGTATTTTAATTTATTTTATTTATTACTAATGAAAGAATAAAAATAATATATATATATATATATATAGACCGATTTGCCCTCCCTTAAATCATGTTCTTTTATTTAATAGGAGGGTAATCTAAATCATGATTTTAGGGAGGGCAAATCAGTATTACTTATTTTGCTGATATCATAATAGGAGGGTATAGTTCATCAATTTTTTAGACTTGTGAAATATTATACCGATTTGAAGACTCAAAAAGGATTTTTTGCCAAGATACCCTACTAATTAAACACTTAACATTACCTCAATCCAAATTTCTCTTGTATATAATTGTATTGATCTGCTCAAACTAGAGCTAGACTTTGGGTTAAAAATTAAGGGAGTATAGTGACATAGATTTTCTAGTCAAAAGATATTTCTTAAAGTTTATAAAGATTCTACGGATCAAGGTAAAACGTTACAATTTATCGTCATTGTTTTCATAAATAAATAAAAAAAGTATGAAGATT